CATTCTCTTTTGGCCCTAAATCTCTAATCTCTAGCTCCTGTTCAGGAACCAAATTTTCCAGCACTTTGAAACTCCAGCACATGTAAAAACTATGCTTATTAATTAACGCACATCTTCCACATTTCCTTCCAAGCCCTTGAAGGAAGTTTCCAATAGAGAGATCTTAATTCTGACATGATTTCTTTCATTTCTGTTCCAGCAGAAGATACTTTCTTCCCCCTTCTCCATTTTATTTTGCCTGCAAGTGAAGCACCCTTTCTACCTGAGATCAGAGAGTTTCCTTTAAGCTATGCTTTGTTGAATTTTCTTGCTGGCAGGCTATAAAGAAGTGTTTGATATATGCATCTTTCCTGTTTCTTAACATCATAAAAAAAGGCTGGGTGATGTTTTTGCTCATGGAACTAGAAAATAGTTGTGGCTAACAGTAAGACCAGTAACATAAATCTTCTTCATTAGTGTCCAGAAGCACAATGCCACAATAACCTACTGCAGCTAAAATGCAGGGAGAACAAGAGAGAAATTGAAAAAAAAGCAGAATGACCAAAATAATTGGCTGCTAACTGAAAATCAGTGGCTCACTCCTCATTTCCTCCAAAGAGCCCAATGACTTGAATAGCTATTAGCTTAAAAGGCCAACTGTGGGTATTTCCAAGGCCTATGAACCACAGAGTTGTGCACCAAGATCCCAGACTCACAAAAGAAGACATTGGAAATGGTGGCTCCCAGCAGATGCCATTCACAGAGGAAGTGTTAGACATGGAGAATACAATCAGAGAAACCAATGGAAAACAGAAAACTGAAAGATGTGCCTCTATTTGTTTGAAAAGAAAGTAAGGCATTATACAAACATGAACTATGAACATAAAATAATCATGACTGGGGATTAAGCAGCCTGTTAAAATTACTTTTTTTTCTCTTGCCTTAATTTTCCATCTGATTAAAACTTCCCACCAAAGGCCCTCAGACTTATGGGGCTTTGATTCTGGCAATGCATTGCAACTCTGGCAGGTAGCCAGCCTTTTATTTTTATCCCTCAGCCTTTGGTCTTTTCTTCATATATTTCTCATCTTGCAGTATTTTTTTCCTCTAGCCACAGAACATATGTAAACAACCAGAATTATTTTTGGAGTACAGAAGCATAACATACTCTATTTCTAGTTCTAACAAGAGATCATATTCTTGCAGATTCTTACTTTTTTTCAATGATTAGTTTTGGGCAAACATTTGTCTGTAAACAGGATACATTTATTAGGTACTTTATGCTGCTGAGAAACAGTCAAGATCCCTTAATATGGCCAAATAAAACTAATACAAATATTAAAATTGGTTTTTTTCTAAATTAGATTACATTTAGACTGTTGACACACACTGCTGACTTTACAAAAATATTATCCAAAGATAATATACTCAACACTATATGCATTGCAAACCTACCTCCAAATCCTAAAAGACAAGTTTACCAGAGTGCTTAGGAACATAGAAAACATGCTAAATTGCTTTCTGAATCTCAAAATGCTGAAGTGCACTCCTAATGCTTCAAGCCTACCTCAATGAAAGGATGTAACATCTACACCATTTGCTTCTTCTTTTTGTTCTTGTGAAACTTAAGAGAACTAAATCTTGATCAGAGCTTTGAAATATTTGTTCACTGATATTTGTAATTGCAGTTAGTAACTCGTGACAGGTTTGTTTTGTCTGAATGTTCATTTTAAGGTTATTGTCACTACTTTTTAATGTCCAGCTGACATATATCCTATCTTAGATTTACTAGAACCAAATTCAAAACTGCCTCTACAGGTGTTCATACTTTATTGACTTCAACTTTCACCTATATCTCCTCTGCAATGTATGCCTTCTAAACATGGTTCTCTTACTGAATCAGCAACTGTCCATTTTAAACCCAAGTAAGTCTACAGTAGATCTGTCAACCAAAATTTCCAAATGTGCTTGCCCTCCCAAATAGCCATCCTGTAAAACTGTGCCACTTGAAGAAATCACTCCTTTTTGAGTGGCTTTGATAAGAAAATTCATGCTGAAGTTTAAAAAAAAATCCTGGCAAACCTTGTGCATTTTACTACTTAGTATGTCCACAACAATCACTAAGTCTGATTGCTTTGACAGCTTTTTAACCCCATCTGCTGACTCCAAGACTCTTTTGTCTTTCCCATCCCAAATTCTGCCACAGAGCCTAACGTTATTGAATGTCAAGATCTTCCACCATCTACTTGGTTACAGTTTTTTCCTTAAAGAATCTAATAACTGTAAGACATTCTACATAATTAGTACATTAATGGATATACGTATTAGCTGTGTTCTTCATACGCTGAAAAAGCATGAAATGCTAGAAATACTCTGAATTAATTCTATATATATTTCCCTCCTTACTTGTCACAGACATACAATGTGTGAATATTTTATGGACACTCTAAACTGTCCTTTGTGTTTTTGCATTTTGCAGTCCCTCTTTTTCAGTCAAATCTGTTGACTCCAGTTGGCGACCTACTTCTTTTATTTCTTTGGACCAATTTCCTGCCAGAGTCATGCAGCCAAAAGGGTAAAAAAAAAGGTCTACAACTGTTCCTTCAGACACACATGTTGCTTGTGGTGCTTACTCTGAATTTGTCAGAAAAAAAATATTGAGGGTAATGTATCAGATGAGAAAGAGAGCACACAACTGCAGATAAGCTTTGATTCTTTGGAGGTATTTTTCCTCACAGCATCTCTAGAAGTACCTTCTTGCTTAGGGTGAGTTTATGACTTGCTTTGACATCCTCACATGATGATGCTCTCAATTGATTAATTTCCTTAAAAACTACAGTTTCAAAAGCTTTCACTCTTTCTGTGAGCATTTCTCATTAGAGAGAAGTAGAGTTGTGATGGATTTTGAAACACCTTTTACTGTGTCCTATATAAGTTAATGAAAACACTATTAATAATGAGCAGACCTTAATTCTTGCTCACATGTGTGCACAGTGGAAAATTTATCCAAGATTTTAGTTCTGCAAGCTGCAGAAAACCTACTGGAGACTCTTGGGATCTTGTTAAAGATCCAAGATATTTTGCTACTTTAGGGAAATCTGAATTCATCAGTTCTGAGTTGCCTCCTTCATCTTTCCCCAACCTGCCATCCATGCAGGTAACAAGCTACAAAAGGCTCACATGACCCTCATATGAGCCCCTTTTATCTTACTCAAAGCATCTTTCATTGGAACTATGTGTCTTGAGCACACGCAGCAGGAAGTGTTTCCCAGCAGCCCAACCAAACAGAGCAACCCAAATTACATCTTGCAGCCAGTCAGAAAACCAAGGTAACTTTTGTGGCAAACTGACTTTTCTTTTTCCTGAAAACATAAAGAACATTCCTGAGCTTCTATTTATGTGTACGACTTTTCAGAATGAACTTCCCACTAAGAATTTCAGTTCATGTTCTATATATTATACATTGGCCAAGTCTGATTAAAAGCTTTCAGCTGCACCTCTATGTACTGAAGCTGTTCCATCTACTGAAATACTGAGATTCTATTTTCTTCCATTACACAAAAGTTCCCAACATTTCCAGTGGCCCAATCATACATAAAATACTCCCTTGAAGGAGCACTGGTAACCACAAATGTCATGAAAAGCAATTTGCCTTATCATTTGCTTGCTGCAGCCATTTATGGGGGGATTCCAGGTACTTGTTCCAGGTACATATCTCAATGAGTCCCTATGGAAATTATCAGTATCCTTGATTGTAATATTTTTACCTCTCATTTTAACATTAAAAAATTCAGTCAAGTCTGCCTGCTTGTCCCCATCTACAAGCTTCTGGCAGCACATAGTCAGTTTAATGACAGTCTTGGTTCTGTTCCAGCAGATTATTTTAAAAAGAACTATTCAGATGAAAAAATCAGCTGTGCTTAAATAGCCACAGAGTCCAACCAGACAATTCGAAGGTTTTGGCTGTTTTTTATCTCTTACAGACCCTTATCAGGCCAATATATACATACACACAGACAATATTAATGGGGAGCTTAGTAATGTGTTTGTGCCTAAGTGTCATGATCTGCTGAACGCATTACAGTAGGTGCATTACAGGGAGTGCATTATTGCTGCTTTGTGTTTCCACAGCCAGGCTTATTCAAGAGACCAAGGAGCTTAACTTAACACTGGTCACCTCAGGTATGCCTTGATGATGTATTTTAAATGTGACTACTTAGAACATAAACAAGGACATGTATATACTTTAATACTTATCAGCAATTTACTGTAAAAGCAGTAAGGTGGCTGATAAACTGCCAATTATCCTTCTCCCATGTGCTACATATTTGTTGGAGATCTTAACAACAGTGCTGGAGAAAGGACATCAAATGATGCTTAGAAATGTGATACACATTTTCATTTCACACTCCATCAGTTTTTACAACTAGAGCTCCATGAAATGTATGAGAATACTTGGCTAACAGCCATATCTACTGAGCTGTAAAATAAGAATCAGATCTCTTTTTAAAAGAGTTTCATTTTTTTTACATGACTAAATCAGATGTTGACCTTTTTCCAAAATATATTGTAAATATATTCTGCACCTCTACCCATCAATTAATTTTGAATCTCTGAATAGTGTTTAGACCTGTTTTAACAGATATGTAATCAATACATATTTTTTTTAGAACAGCTTTGTAAAAAAAATTAAACTAATTCCTCAATTCATTAAACTGAAATATATTGAGTTATATAATTACTGGTGTTTAATCTTTTCAATTCTAGTATGTTCTTTACCCATCTTGCATCTAGAAACAAGAAACAAATGTATTATTGCCTTTGTAGTCAGCAAAGTAAAGCTATGAGCATCAGCAAAAATATATTTTGAATTCAGATTTCAATCTGTCAGAAAAGATTAAAGCTTCATGCATATATAAATGGGAACTATAAAATGATAACAGATACATAGCCTGGAATCATTTTGCTTGAACAGCTGTGGATTTGCCAGTGTAGTAAAGCAGAAAATGTCTTTTACTCACCTCTGTTAAACCAGAAACTTCTCCTTTTGCTAACGGTCTGCTGATGGATGCAGTATGAACTCTGGCATCTGATACTGGCTGCCCCTTCATAAAATGTTTCCCAGCTTCATAAATATTCACTTCTACCATCTTACCCATTAACAGAGGATCCTTTGGCACAAGAACCTTTCAAATAAAATAAAGACATAGTTACTAAATACTGCAAGGAACATTAGAGTCTCTAGTATCCATTCAGAAAACAGATTTTTGATAAACATCAGAGAAAATCCTAAAACTTAAACATTTCCGTCACCAGTGTACACTACAGCCCTGGCACACTTGACCAGTAAGATCTCCAGCCTGCATTCTACAAGAGCTTTGCAGTGTTAGCTCAGCTCTTTTCAACTCCAACTGATTCCTAAAGTCATGTTTTTTGATTGATGAGAAAGTTGGGCCTGAACTGCAGCTTTTGAATCCAGACCCAAACAGTTCCCAAGGACATTTGTACAACACAATTCTAACAGACTGCTGCAAAGCTTCCCATTTTCATCTCTGTCCCATGACACTTTAAAAAAAATAATTCTGAGTCTGTAAAGGCTTCAGGACAGAAAGTATACCCTTTTCTCTCTTTGCACGAGGCTTTATTTTGATTGTGCAGATCCTTTGCAGCTGAGATGCATGATTGACAATGAATGCCTGTAAAAATAGATGACTGCTTCTTGGGTCAGCAACTAATGCCACTCTTTCCTGAATTCGCACAACCATGATATCAGACAGTCCCATTTCACATAAAAGCACTAAACAGATGTTCCTAGGTCATGCATTTAAAAAAAGAAAGAGCCCAAAACACAGGAGCAACATTTTTTGGAATGGAAGAATAAATGGACTTTAAATGGCTCCAAAATAGGTAAGCACTTGAAAAAGAAAGGCGGAATAATTTCTTGATGAAATTACGTTTTTTACACTGTTTACAATGAAAAATTGAATCATGGGGACTTATTTAATAACATTTACTTCAAGCTTATCCACACACAGAATCCTAGAGTGAATCAGGTTGGAAGGGACCTCAGAGGAGTCATCTGATCCAATCTCCATGTTCAAGCAGGGTTATTGTAGAGCACATGGCACAGGATTGCACTCAGGCAGTTCTGGAATTTCTCCAGTGAGGGAGACTCCACACCCTCTGGGCAATTTGTCCCAGTGCATGGTGACCCACACAGCAAAGAAGCTCTTCCTCATGTGCAGCCCCATATTTCTCTTCACAGAGAAAAGCAAGGCACAATTCTTCCCAAGAATATTTCTGGGTTTCCCATTCTCTGAACATCAGAGAAAGAAAACACAATTCTTATCTTATTTGCTGTGCCTCTGTTTGGGCAAAAGTAGAATGCAATATGGAGACTGTTTATCCAAAGTGATGGTGTTTTGTTTCCTTGGCCTATCAGGGCCAAGAGTGTGTGTGTGTCGGGACTGTCAGCTGACAGTCATGAGAATTCTGTGCAGCTGTATGCAGTTGTGTGCAGAGCTGAGTGCTTGGCAGATTCAGTTTAGATGTAATGTAATATAGTATAGTATTAGTATAATAAAATAATTAATTAGCCTTCTGATAAGATGGAGTCAGATGTATCATCATTCTCTCTCCTCTTGTTGGGTTGCCTGCAAATTTGATACTCATGTTCAGGGGGAATTTCCCGAGCATCAGTTTCTGCCCACTGCCTCTTGTCCTACAGCTTGGCACCACTGAGGAATAGCCTGGAAACACCCTCTGACACCTTCCCTTCAGATACTTAGGGACATTGATGAGGTCCCCTCTCAGTTGCCTCTCCTTGAGGCTGAACAGGCCCAGCTTCCTCAGCCTTTCCTCATGAGAGAGGTGCTTCAGTCCCCTGATCATCTTTGCTGTCCTTCACTGGAGCCATTCCAGCAGCCTCTCCAGTGTCTCTCTTGTACTGAGGAGCCCAGAACTGGACCCAGCACTCCAGGTGTGGCCCTACCAGGGCTAAGGAGAGCTTTTCAAAGGAAAAGACCTTATCTTTTTATCTTGATTCTTTGATGCTGAAATGGAAATGCCTTAAAATGGCTTAATTTTTTTAGGACTACATGTGCAGAGGACTTTCAGAGAAAAAAAATCTGTACCACCCACATTTGGAGACCATTTTTTTGCCAAACACTGCCTCTCCATTTTCACCTGTCACTACTGTTGATTGTCCCACTTGGAGGAAATCACCACCAGTGGTTGCCCTTCTTCCCCGAAGGCTCAAGTTGTTCATGACTGTTCATGACTGTAAGCACTTTGAGATCCTAGGATCCTGCTAAGCTTCCTAGGCATCTTCCAAGAAAGGTAGAAATCTTCGCCTTTCAGAGACAGGCAAGCTGAGACTCAGCAAACACAAAGTCAGGATCGCAATGCTCAGAGAGTTACAATGTGACTGGAATACACTTCTTCCCAAGTAACTCATCTTGGGCAAACTTAAATCAAAGGGAAACTAGGTAGCTGAGTATATTCTGGGCTCATGACCTCTGTAAATCTTCCATCTCCTCATGAAAAAGGAACTAAATATAAACCAAACTTCAGAAACATAAACAGGTTAAGTGAAAATAACTGGGAGATAGCGTGAACAACCAAGCATCCAGGCTTGGCACACACTCAGATATTTTTTGAAGTATTTGTCAAGAAAAAACCCTCAATGGTATTTCTAAGAAACCAAGTTAAGCCAGCAGAAACTCACCTTGGCTACGGATCTGGCAAAGCACTCTTTGGTCACTTTAGACTAATCTGTTCAATGTAAACTGTATCACCTAAGCCTTCACAAATGTCAGCTGCAGCTCCCCCACTAAGTCTGTCTGTGCAGCTGTATCGATGTGGGTTTAATAGTAAATTCTTTTAGTACAGATGAGCTCAGTGAAGACAGAATACATTTGATAACTATTTGAGTTAACAGAACACTACACCAAGATTCTGAGCTTCAGCTTAAATAATATATAATATGATATTTAGACTTTAGACTGGTTTTCAATTTACTGCTATTAATCTTAGTTACTAGCATGGATTCTTGTGCTTACCTGGGTGAGCAGTAAGATACCATCCTTATGAAACATAGCACACATAACATTTTAGGGAAAGGAACTGCATTTCGTTAATGGAAAGCATTTCTTCCCTAACAGAATTTAAAATGAGTCCCTCTGTGACTATTTGTATTTTGTGAATTCTTTACCAGTCCCAATCATGAGCTGCATTAGGTGCTGTACAAACACAACACAAAAAATCAACACTTTGTTTCCTGTACATACTGCTTTTCATTTAGTTAATTAACCTTCCATAAAACAACACTGAACAAAAAAGTCCCAAGAAATCTCTTTTTAATCTCCATGTTCCTCAACTCTAACTGATAAGCTACAAAATCAAGGAGCATCAATACATAGGACTTAGACAGAAATTGGATATGCAATAAAAAAAAAGGAGAAAGTGAGGAAAAAATAATTAGCAACCCATATATCTAACAGAAACAGATAGTTCAAGAACAGCCATGTTACTTACTACTAAGGAAAAACAAATAAATAAAATCTGTAACATAACCCCAAACAAGAAGAAAGTACAGCCATCACCTATATTCTCCCCAGGTTCAGAGAAAAAAAACAACTAATGGTAGCAAAAGTAACTTGTAGACAGCTTAGTCCAAGAAAATGGAGATTAAAATCATGATGATTCAGGAAAGCCAATTTTATTGGTCTTAAGCAAGTCATTGGCTTTTTTTCAATTTTGGAAAATTGATGTGTGTGTTTCCTTCCCAGCTCAAAGATAATGTTTTTGTGTGGCAAGAATTTATCTACATGAAGTACACAGAAGAAAATGACAAAAACTAGAAGGAAGGCATGCCATTTAGGGGGACCCACAGAAGCCTGAGAAGTGAACTCACAGAAGCAAAATGAGGCTGAACAAGTCCAAGTGCAAGGTGCGGCAGCCAGGCTGAGGCAATCCCAGACATAGGTACAGACTGGGAAAAGAACTCATGGAGAGTGGGCACTTTCCTGCTGAGAAGGACTTGGGGGTTCTGGCGGATGAGAGGCTGGACATGAGCCAGAAATGTGCACTTGCAGACCAGAAAGCCAATTGTATCCTGTGCTGCATCCAAAGAGGGGTGGCCAGTAGGGCCCCATCCAGCCCAAACCATTGTATGATGCTATGAAACACAATATATCATGTTGGAGTGTTTATCTAAAAAAGTTTCTTGACCCTTCTATTGTTATGATTTTTTTTTTTCAAATTGCATTGCCTGAAACACTTTTCAGAAAGATGTATGCAAACTGTCATGACTCAACTATTCACAAATCAGTGCTTTGGGGACACTGAAATTAAAATTACTGCAATAATTAACAGCTTCTTAAATCATGCTGTACACTCAAACATCCACTGTATATTTCTTAACATAATTTCAGGTAAATTATATTTAAAACACAAAAATAAAACAAAATATCTCATAGAAAAGTCTTGATGGTCACATGTTTCCTGGAAAATGCTTCTTATTTCTTTATTAGATTTTTTTTATCAATACACACTGTATTACTGAGATTATCAGAAAGCAAAGATAAAAGAAAAATATGTTATTTGGTTTATTTAACTGTACCTGCTCATAGAAAGGATTGTGAGCAACGTAGTAATTGGAGTCAAAGGATTCTTCTGTTACCAGAACTCTCTGCCTCTCACCAACCTGGAAAATAGAAGATGAGAGATATCTCAGAAAGCAAAATCAATGAATTATACTGAGAACTTCAGCTACAAACAAATGTCCTTAGCAGAAATAATCAAATTCTCTGAGGAACCTCTGTATCAGCAAGAAAGTGGAGCAGAGAAAACCCTACTTACAAGAGTCTAAAACTGACAGGGTTAAAAGAATGGAGGGATAGAACTGAGGGGCTGTAATGAAAAAAATGAGGAACCTAACAGGAAAATCCAGTTCAGAAATATAAACTGATTTTTATTTATTAAATAGCAAATAAAAATGTAAGATGTGAACAAAGTCCATTACCTTTTCATCCACCTAATGAAAAAATCTGCAATCAATCACCAAAAGGGTGTCTTTTCTTTAAAAGTCACACTTGCAATTTACAGTTCTGGGGCATCTCCTTATTCCCTCTTGGTGAGCTCATTTTGCTGTACTCATGAGATCACACTGATTTCCATGGCAGTGGAGCCAACACTGCATATTACAAAGACTCAAGAAGAAGAGTTTATAACAACTCACAGATCCAACATACTAAAGGCAAAATAAACACTGGTCTGGAAAGAAAAGTGTTTCAATTATACTTCTCAACTTCCAAATGCACTTACACTGTTCAAGGGAAGCACCAATTTTAAAATTAAATTGAAGACTCAAAGACAAATCAGTTGCATTTAAGGACTAAACAGATATGGAACAAAATCTGACTTTCCCCAAAGTTCAATATCTCCCTCTGGTCCTGTCCATTACTGAGTTTATGATGAAGTGTATAGCCTAATGTCTGCAAACCTGGAAGGACATTTAGCTCACATTTTTAGTCTGAGCCCATCTCTACTTTTCCATCTAAATGTGCTCTAGATTATTTCCAAACTATTTGACAAATGCATTTTGCAAATTACAACTGTCTAGCAAGTTAAATTTACCCTGCTTTTATTACTATTCTGAGACTCAAGAAGGTTTCACATTTTACTCCACAGCTTTGATATCCACGAGCAAAGTCACATTCCCCTCCCCTCTCCCTGAAAGATTCCCACCACATCCCTGTGGCAGCTGTTACACACAAGTTTTAAGATCTCCATCATAAGTTCCATGTGAACTCTGCAAGATTCAGAGAGGATAATAATGCTTTGATTCTTTAAGGTACAAGCAGTAAAAGATAAGATTAGGATTTTCTCTTACAGTTAATTGTAGAAAACAGAACTTTAAGAAATAGGAACAGCAATGTCACATCTGCATTACAGTATATACATGTACACACATATGTATACACATGAGATATGTATATAATTCTCCACTTGCTGAAAAGAAAGATTTCACAGAATAACTCTTGCCTTCCCTTCCTTGTGCATTTATCTGGAACATTTCCAAAGTAAACCTTGGAAAGCAAAGGAAACAGCAAGCACCCAGCTCATTTCCCTAAAGGCAGATAGACTTTACTCCCCAGAGCCACAAGTTGTGGGGTACACAGCAGAAGGGGACAAATCCCTTTAAGTCCAAATCCAGTGACAGACCTCTAATAGTAGAAAGTATGTATATTTTTGCATACTTTTAAGAGGTGTTTAAGACTTGTTTATAACACATTTAGAATTTCCATTCTCTGGGAAGTCTGAAACTACAAATAACAACTGATAAAACATACTCAAATTTTAGTAAAAATCCAGTGTAACCACTGGTGGTTTCTTTTATTATTGTTTTCAAGAAAGCAGTCATTTAACTTAAATCCCCAGAGGAGTTTTGCAAAATATGTCAATAAGGCACTTGAGATAACTACTCCAGTAATAAGATTACAGAAAACATTTCCCCTAAACTAAGAGCTTTTGTTACTTCCACAGTATTTGAGACCACAGCTTTTAAAAATCACAGCTCAACATCTGCTGTAGCACTGAAGTGCTCAAGTCTCAGATGTCCTGCAATATTATGAAAAAGAGGAGGACAGAATGTTAGATAAGCAACATTCACCCTTGGGCAAACATGCTACCACTGAAAAGCACGAAGGCCAATCACCAAGTCATGTCTTCACATCCTGTTTATTATTTACCGACACCAAAACTTAGCAAAACTGGCTCAGAGAAATATTGGGTCTGTAACTCATTTCTCAGTTGTCTCATGGTTCCCTGGCTCTCTCTGGTCATAACAGTCTGCCTTCATCATGGCCATGAACCCTGCCTGTGAGGCAGACTATGCTACATGTGTTATCTTCATATTCTGAGATGACAGAATAGTAAGCATATTATGCAGAAGAAAAAAATTAAAAAATCAGAGGGAAGAAGAAAAGAACACCTGTGTTAGATCATTTGATATAAGTTGTGGTTTCTTCAGAGAGATGTTGCCAGTTTTTCTCAGCTTTGCTTCCAGAAGCCAAAAGAGGTCAGGTCTCCATGTCTCAGTGGGCCAGAGGGAGAGATTCTGGGCTCAGAATTTCTTGGGAATGGGAAGAAATCAGGGAGGATTTCTGATCCTAAATTCATAATATAGGATCAGAACGGTGGCATTTAAATTGAATACCAGAAGCTCAGAGGAGCAAAACAGCCTATCCCAATTTACAGCACACGCATACAGATAGACAGACAGACACACAGAAAACTAACATGGTGCACTGTAAGGAATGAAAAGTAAACCCAGTAATTGTCCACTTGCTAAAGTTATGGATCTGTAGCCTTGGCCAAGGCTGAGCTCCAAGAGAGATCCAATACTCAGCTATTTGCAGACTCCTTTGCCATAACAACAGAGGAGGAAAATTCCATTTAATGAGTTAGGCCATTGCGTATTCATGATCTACAAGAGTAATTGGCTACATGCATTTGTAAGACAGAAAATTACTATCTATCCTGCATCCAAGTATAATTAAGAAGAAATGTAAGTACGTAGAACGCAGCTTTGGTATTGAAATTTGTTCAAAAAGTGGAATATGTCATCATTTCTGCAATTATTCCCCTGGGATCTCTAAGTGCCTAAGTTTCACCTCTCACAGAATTTAAATATGCAGAAACCAGACATGATATCTAATAACAGTCATAATTATAATAACTTTGATGATTTTTTTTTCAGACATGTAGCAGCAGAAGTAGTTCAGTATCTTATTTTTATTCTTATTCTTTCATCTGCTTCCATAGGTACACATGAGTTCCAGCTCTCAGGGAACTACAATTCTGCCAAAGCATCTGGAACTGAGGCAACTCAGCCCTGGCATCTCAATTTGGAAAGGTTTCCTACAGAAGCAATATTTTTTACTTTATGGCTGACATTATGAAAATATTTATGAATGATAGCAAAAAAACCCCTTGTCCAGCAATCTCCCCCATGCCAAATTGGGCTGGTCACATAATTTCCTCAAGGGCAATTTGCTTTCACCAAAAACCATGCAACAATTGCTGCTGATCACTTCCTGCACTGCAACAGTTACCAGGAAGTTTGTAAATCTCAGAGTTAATAATCAAATAATTTAGGAACTTTTATTTCATTTTCGTTTATCCTACAGGAAATTCTGACATGATAATTCTTTAACTCAGTTTTTCCTTCACCGGAAACCATGAAAAGCAGGTTTTCCAGCTGGCTGATTTTATAGAATGAATGAATAGCAAGAAATGTCCAAAATCCTTCTTGGCTGCAGTCAAATTAAGTTTCTCTTTTAAACCAAAACTGACTGAATCACATAAAACACAAGACTGATTTTTAAACTCTGCAACAGTTTGGGTGCCAAGGACTGTCCCTTTTTACATGCTTTGATAGAATATTGCTACATAACGTCAGCAGTGGTGCCTGCTGTGATTACACTCAGGTAATGTATACCCCCCTGATTTTTTTTTTCCCCATCAATGAAGACTATGATTGCACAGTTTGGATTTGTTACTTACTAAAGCCAGAGCATGTGGAACATGATATTTTTCAATGTTTCCTTATTGTTCTTTTACCTGTATTTTATCAGCTTTGTTTTTTAAGAGCTGCTGATTGGCTAAAAATATATAAATTAATAACCACTGTACTTCTATAATTCTCCCATAGAAGCACACTGCCCATGCAGCAACTCCACTGATTTAGAGACAGTGGCCAAACCCTTCCTCAGACTAAGTTCAATTCATAGTAAAATTGGTAAGCATGTCTCCATTTCTCTTGAAGGAGCCTGACTTGGATTCTGACCCAAATCATCATGGAACATACTCAGTATAAGGCTTGGAAGCCACATAAAAATGTGCTTTCCTGTATTTGTTATTTAAATATGTCACAAAGCAAGCAAGAAAAAATACACACCATCACAATTTATGTGTGTGCATATTCTAGCAGATTATTCTGATGTATAGAATATTTCTAGTAAACATATTTGACCTTTATTAAGTATAACAAATTTTAGGCAAAAGCAATGTAGATAGTTTCTTCTACATCAGTTTTGGTTTAGTTCTCTCCTGATTTTTCAGTTGCGGTCTAATTATTTTGAATACATTTTAGTAATTATGCAGACTATGTATTCTTCACTATAAAGCAGAAATGAACTGCTGGACCTATTTTTTAAAAAATCACATGAATCCGTCTGTAAATAGAAGCCAAATTTCTTGAAAATTATAATCAAGCATTCTCTAGGTCTTCTGTTTACATATTGTATGGGTGCTCTCCACCTGATAAAGAAGTCAAAGTATGCCACTACCTCCCAGGAAAAGCAACAAAGTTTGTAGAAACTTATGACATGGTCCTGTTTTGATGATATCAAAACACATCTGTTTTCAAAATCTCCTTTGTACTGCTTTGTTCTGCTATGCAGCACTGCTCCTCAAAAATTTAGAATGTATACATCTTTCCCTTTCTGAAGGTAATCTTGGAGACAAAGCATGGACTTGTCTCAGAGCTTTTAGACAAAGTTGTTTGGGATTCAAATGTGGATATTGAAAAGCAGTAACATGAAAATAGTTCAGCTCCTGAGCATGACAATTTTTATGCCGGGATAAATATACTTTTCTAGCACATAGCACAGACAGCTGCCACTTCACTAAGGCTCATGT